CTTCTTCTACCACAACATACCTCGCGAAGTCGTGTATGTCTCCTTGGATTACCAAGATCATAGCTCAAACGGTATGAGCGTGGGTAGTGGCAATGGCAAGGCAACTCTAAGCTGGACACGAGGGAGCTCAACAGCCAAAGTTCACGCCTGGGTGAATGGGAAAACGTCAGGTGGAAATCACGTTGCCTGGACTGTTTGGGCATGGATTCTTTTGTAATCTCGCTCTACTTGGACATAACGACTCCATATTTACCAGTGACTATATACGATTATATTATGAATTTCATTATAAATTATAGAAGTATTTTAACGGATAATCTTAGTGAATAGAATTAGACTTATTTCCGAAAACTATTGTTGATTTTGTAAACTAAGCGTATAAGTAAACAATAAGAATGTTGAAAAAACAAATCTGTACAAGCAATTTGCGATTGTCAAGGCCTAAACCTAGGTTGCAATATTTTGTACGGCAATATTTTGTACCATGCACCATCAGTGATAATTCTGCTCGCACGCTTTCAATCTGTACTGCTTATTTTTTATCATTCGGCCTTCGATCGCTCCCTTTTATGATAATATACATGCAGGAAGATAGGGTATATATTCATACCAATCGCTATATTTGCGGCGGTTATGCGCTTGTTTTAATGAGTCCCCCACCGAAAATCTTCTACACAGGTTAGTAGTATAGAACATAATTGGTAAAAGAGTTTCTAATCAGCCATTAAATATGAAAAACCTCGATTTAAGCTTCATTAGTCACATAATTCTTCGTTAATTATAAAGAAAGGCAGAGAGATAAATGACATCTCTAATGACATTTACGCTGTATTCTAAAAGCTCACTCACACTCACACTCAAGTTAAACTCGAGTGAGCTGCTCCCAAGTGTGATTGAAGTGTGAGAATAACGCCTGTATTCAAAAAGCTCACTCACACTCATATACTCATTGAGTGTGACATATAAATTTCGTTAATGCTAATCAATGAGAAAGTTTTTTCTTAATAGATGGAAAGATATAAGGTAAATCACTGAAAATCAAGCCGCTATTCGGCTGGAAATACCGCCATTGAAACGTTATGAGCAGATTAAGATCTCCCACTCAATGAGTTTGAGTGTGAGTGAGCTTTTAGAATACAGGCGTAAGTGTGAGTGTGAGTATAACTTTGCACTTTGAAAGGGCTTACTCATTTGTTAAGCAAACTGGTCAAATTGGATTCAAAAAGGTTACTCAAGTGTGACTAACTGGAGGTGCAGTTCAGTACACAATCATGTATATAAGAGTTTGATTTTCTCGGCTGTGAAGTCCAAAGACAACGTGCAGTGAGATGCCCCAAGGCAGGCAGTATTTTTCACAACTAGATGATTTTAGGACAATATCCCAGAAAAACGCGTTGTGGGAAACGTTATCGCAAGAATTTAATTCGCAGTCAGGTGTGACTAAGCGGGATGCGAAGCAACTTAAGAAATGTTGGGAAAATTTGAAGATGCGTGCCAAAAAGGTTCTTGCTAAAGAAAAACGGGCCGCTAAATTAACTGTTGGTCAGTGTATCCACATCACCTGCAGCCGAACTATCATCGGCTATTGCTTCAATGATCCCTGCTCAAATAGACAGCCTAGAAAACCCTTTTAATGACGATAACTACGAATTTGATAAGGGTATACGTATATGCTATAGTAGAAAGATTATGGTATTGGGCATGTTTCATTTCTCATTCATGCATTTAATAGAAACCGAAAATGGCGATGCTTAGTCTGGTACAACACCTACAGTTACTCCGCATCAACAACCGTCAACTGTTGTAGAAGCTGCCTTGTCGTTACCAACGACCACAAAGAAACCAATATCTGCGGGAATATATAGTCCGGTGCTTCAAACGGATCATTTCGGCTTCGGACAAAGTTGTACAAAGTAGCTGTAGCAACAATAATAGTGTGTGTTGTTTCTAGTTTTGTACGTAGACTCATTGATAAGCATGGAAATAGTCTCTTTAATAATCCAAATGTTCTCTCTATCGTATTTCTCGTCCGTATTTGGGCCCTGTTATATCTTCGCTCTTGCGGTGTTTGCGGATTCAACAGTGGTGTCATCAGATAAGGCCGATCGACATGGATAGCCACTGTCGCCCAGTAAAATAGCATGAATGTCCCCTCGTTCAAACTTTGCAAATAAGCGACTGTTATAAAAAATTCTCGCATCGACTGTTATAAAAAATTCTCGCATCGTGAACGCTACCTGACCAGCGTGTGACAATATTTACTATGCCAGCGTGTGACAATATTTACTATGCCAGCGTGTGACAATACTTGTGACAATGCTTTTCGATTTCGATACAGTTCTGCATTTTGACCCCCGGGAGATGTAATTTTAACGTGGGTACAGTCTATTGCTCCAACAACGTTGGGAAATCCACCAATGCGCCAGAAATTAAGCTTGCTTTGCTGTAGCATATTCTCATTAGGGAATGTTATGTGATTATTCTTTAGACGAGCAATAGCTTCCGACACGCGTTTTATAATGCGACTTGCTGATGACTGGGATATTTCACATAAGTCCGCACATGCTAACTGGAACGTACCAGTCGCATAAAATCGGAGAGTTATCAGCAGTTGAATATCAGCGGGAATAGGTCTTCCCCTGTTGTTATGTGCACGTATATGTGGTCGAATAATTCGCAGCAACTCCTGAAAAGCATCCTTTGTTAACCTTTATCTCCTCCTAAATTGCCCATCGTCATACGTGTCTATATTGAACGTATATGTCTTCCGTTTATTTCTGTTATTGAATATAATATTATCGACGGCATATAGTCTATTTAGCCATCTGCCGGCCATGTTTTTATGACATACACACTCGTGAGGGCAGGTCAAGGGACGTATACATTTCACTCACACTTCACTCCACTTTTAGGCCTTATTGAAGGACGGTAAGTAACGTCTTTGAATGACTGGAGTGTTAGTGTAACAATCAAATCAATGAGTTCGAAGGGGATTTCATTGAGTTACAAGTTGCACTCATTGAGCATAAGCGTCCACTCGTTAAGTGTGAGTGTGAGTGAGCTTTTAGAATACAAGCGTTAGTCTAATATTAAACGGTATAGAGTGCATATAATATAGGCTGCACGAATCATACGATCAAATTCAGCGCTATCAACGTCAGGATCGACGTATATAGGATTATTGCTAGTTAGAAGAAAGGAAAACAGTATACTTGCTTTTATAAACATGACTGTACTCTGTAGATCGTTGTTTTTATGAAATCGCTGGGCATTTTCTAATACCCTAGCTGCTCCTTTTGGCCAGTGTAACAAGTATAGTGGCTGCAAACTCGGTGCATTACAAGCCTACATTACATTCACTTCGCCAACGAATAGCCCTTAAAGAAAAGTGGTATGACCGCAGATAATTTGTTAACAACTTATATTGCACTCATTCGTTCGGTCTTAGAGTACTGTTGCCCAGTTTGTCACACCAACCTATACCATCGTATCTCAGCGGAGAATTATATACAGAGGAGAATTCTAAGAATAATTTACCCAAGTTATAAGAGAATTATACATCTCCCGACCTGAGGAAAACCCAATTTTTGCCAAAATGTACATGCATGATCTTAATTAAGATCAATACTGTTTTTGTTTTGGCAGGTATACCTGTCCTGACTTGTACTACAAAACGACGGTATTCAGTTTATTTTATTCACATGCAAGTATCGTTGTCCACTCAAGTTTAACAAACATTACTGATGATTTAGATGGCACAGACTATAACGCTAAGCGGCTAAGCCTATAAATTATAAGTTTTAAATCGACAAAGCCAATAATTACTTGCGATAGGTACGTATGTATACAGCTATTCTCGACGGGTATTGAGGTATATGTCTTCATAATTACACACTAGGTAATATTCGGCTTTTATACAAATTAGTAAGGTTTACTCTTTTAAGGAAATGTGTATACACTCTAAATACTTGTAATGTATATCGGACTGTGTCCAGCGCCTAAAAATAACTAACTTTCCTCGTCGTAAACACGAGAATCCTTGATTATGAGATCGCAGGCTCAAGTTATAAAATTATAAGCGTTTGCCATAATTATATATACCTTAAAACTATAACAGTATCATGGAAGCGAACAGGGTAAAGAATTTTTTTTCAAGAATGTAACCTTTCATTCTCCTTTTGCCCTATACTGTAGTTCACAGACTCAGTAATCCAGCGATGAAACGTTTCTCTGTAAAAACATTTAATTATGTGACAGGGTCGGCAACCGGCAACCTCTTTCCCAGGGCTTTTTGGGACTTTATATGGGAGGTTTGGGATGGGGGCGAGAAGAGGCCCTGGGGTCGGCCGCTCATAATACCGACATTTGGTGGATATTTTGAATAAGCATAATCATAAAATTTTGTCTATAATATTTTCAAACTGATGGCGGGCGTCACGTAGAATGGATAATATTGTCGCATTAAAGCGTATTGGAATTGCACTGTTTCGGAATCATTACAAAATATTCCGCTAATTATACATAAATTAGGAAAAATCATTTCACCAATCAGAAGTCAGAAGCGTCTGGCCGAACACAGGGCTTTTTACTCCAACCCACAATTAAGGTAAAAGGCCCTAGGAACGAGGTTGACAAGGCCAGCAATTCTGTATATATATAGTTTCAAAAGCAAACTTGATAGACTTATTTTTCCACCACCATAATTTCAGTCCTAAAGTCTATCGTATTTTCGACCACCTTTTACGGCCACCCTTTATCTTCATTATAGTGTACAATGCACAGACAAACACAAGTATTTTACCCATTCGGCGACCCTGGAAAAGAGTTCATATCATACGCTTATATACATCTTTTTTGATGTTTCACCTTTCCACATTTCGCCTTTCTTTGTAGCATAGGTTGTCCTGAAATCATCTATGTATACATACCTCTTGGAAGTTTCAGCCGGTCTTCTGGCGATGAATGTAGAAAAAGGATCATTGTGCAAATTACGCTCTAACATGGGTATCAATGCCGATTCCCGCAGACAAAATGCCAAGACAAGGATAATTCAAATAGTGTCAGCCTTGGCAATTTGTTGTGTAGTAGCAGTTGTTATGGTTAGGAATAGAACTGTTGAAAACCGCGACACTAACAAAGATAGCGGGAAGCCTTGGCTAAACATCCGTTTGCCAAGCAAAGTTCTACCAATACACTACGATATGTTGATAAAAGTGAACCTCAAAGATCTAGAATTTTCTGGGAAATCAACAATATCTTTCCAAGTTACTGAATCAACCAATGTCATTTTATTTCATATAAATAAACTTAGAATAAGAAATGCGCAGGTTCTTGGCAAATCCGAAAAAAAGCATCTTAAAGTACGAAAACAGTTTGAATACAAGAGGCATCAGTTTTATGTCTTGATATTGGTTGAAGAACTTGACGTTGGTGAATACAAATTGAAATTGAACTTTGATGGGGATATCGAAACAAAGGAATTAAATGGATTCTATAAAAGTACTTATAAAACTAAGGACGGGAAAACAAGGTATACTGACTATTGCATGTGCACGATATTTTCAAAATTAACTTAATTATAATTTTAAAAATTGTTTAGTGATTGTCATTTGAAGTGTGCATGGGAATGATCGAACTTTTGCTATACATTGCTTCCTCAACATAGCTAAAACATTTCATGCATGATCAAACGTTTGCTAGAGTTGTGTAATATTGCTCTTTTAACCAACTAAAGACTTTTTTCCATTTACAACCAAGGACGTTGGCCCTAACGGACTTCGAACCATCAGATGCACGCAAGGCATTTCCGTGCTTCGATGAACCAGCATTCAAATCAACGTTCACTTTCAACATTGAGCATGGCAGTGAATATACGGCGCTGTCCAACATGAACGTCTACTCAAGGCAAAAGGTCTCCGATACACGAACAGTGTCCAAGTTTGCCAAATCTGTTCGCATGCCTACCTATTTGATCGCGTACATGGTATCCGATTTCAAGCATCTTGAGGCAACGACAGGAAAATTTAACAATGTCACGGTATGAACTTTTTATATGAAAGGCACGAAACTGAGTTCTTCATAGTCGTGTCACTCGTGTGGCAGCGATTTTACGCACCGCATATAAAAAGCGTTCAATTTTCCGCCAATTTCAAAGTTCTCTTACATCCCCTGAAGGAAAATGCATTTAAATAAACTCAACATTGCCAAGCACATATGGTTCATCTAGACAATTGGCTATTATTGCATGGGCCTTTCACACCACAAGAAGCGGTCAATAACACACAAATAAATTGATCTCTATACACATTTAATAAACAAATTACTTAATGGTTGGTTCGTTTGTACGATTTTTATGAACACATTGCGATCCTTCACAACTCGTGCGTAAAAATCATACGCACTCGCCAACCATGAAGTAATCTCTATTTAATAGTGATAAAAATCTATTCAAGGGCGTGTGGCTAGCGAAAAGAACATGGAAGTAATCAAGTAAAGTTGTATCAATCCATATCCGATCTGAGACCATCTTTCGAAAGGGGCTGGCTGAGATTTATACAATTAGCTCGCTTTATGTTTACAGCCGGATTGACAGGAGATCGATGTAAATTACTACTTACTAGTGTGAACATGCAGGCCCCAGGTCTCACGCACTGTTCATACATCCTTTATACTTTCCCCAAGTTATACTTCCTTACAGATTCGTACTTGGGCTAGTCCTGAACAATACCAAGACTCAGCCTATGCATTAGGTATCGGAAAAACTGTCACCACGTTTTATGAGAACTATTACGGAATACCATATCCATTACCGAAACAAGGTAATAACTATCATTTTATACACTATATGTTATTTGATATTGATATTGGATATAATGTACAAAACCGCCTCAGAAAGAATATCTGTAGCTAATAATTGACAAAAAAATAGGTATAATTCGTAGGTCTACTTATAGCACTTGAAGCAAACAAGAAATGCATGAATTCGTATTAGTATATAGCCTCGCACGCATTTGATAAAAAAACCCCAAAATATTGAATTATTTAGTTTACCTAGAATGTCTGGGGACGTCTTACTAATTTCAAAAGCAATTATATTTTCTCTTGAGCATTTATTTGTGCCTTTTAGGTCGGCCCGTACGTTTTCCTATACAATACTGACGACAGTCGAACGATCTTTTTAGTTTAGCATGACTATAGGTTTAAAATAATACCATCTTTACTGTCTAGATATGATTGCAGCGCCAGATTTCAACTCAGGTGGAATGGAAAATTGGGGCATAATTATGTATCACGAGACTACTCTTTTATACAAACCTGGTCTGTCGTCAGCATACAATAAGGAGAGGGTCACTCATGTGGTAGCACACGAGCTGGCACACATGGTAAATGACGCGTTATTTCTAACCCTGTTAAAGTTAAACCATGCATATATATGCATTTTATGACGTTGAACGCTTCTGTGAGTTTTCCTGTATTCGTTTGTGTCCAAAAAGCATAAAAGTTTTAAGATACAGAATATTGTCATGTATTATATGTACCTTGATAAACCTTGATATAAAATTTTAGTAGACGGTTGAAGGATATTTGTTTTCAAGTTTATTGCAGGCTTGCAGCATTGTTGTCGTATTTTTGTTGTATATTTTTCGGCCTTTGCATAATACCGACTGACAGAGAACTACTCAAACGGTTTCAAACCTCAGTCAATGTCATTTGCTATAGCCTTGGGACATGTCGCAGTGCTCGGAGGCTTTCGTCCAATTGGACAATGCTTTCTATGCTTCCTAAAGCACGAAGCTATGTTATTGGTTGAAACAGAAATGCATTGAAAACTTCAGCCAATGAAAATCGTTCTTGCGACGAGCTGCGACACTACCCATAGCCTTCGCTTCGGCCGATAAAATTGATAACATGCTCAGCCTCATCCAATAATTGTTTTAAAACATAGAAATTCTACTCTCAAATTTAGTGGTTTGGCAACCTGGTATCGTGCCTGTGGTGGAATGATTTGTGGTTAAACGAAGGCTTTGCGTCTTACATGGAGTACCTGGGTACAGATCACGCACAACCTAAATGGAAATACGTATGTATTAAGGGTAAAGTAGTGAATATTCCTCTTCACATGCACGGATTGGAATGAGATTCTAGAATAGGAAGATAGATTTCCCAGGTCAAGTGATGGGAGGAAGAATACTCTACAATGTGACAACGTGCTTGGTTATGGTGTGGAGTGCGTTTCAAACAAGCGAGTTTTTTGCTTGTATTTTGTGGTAGAATAAAAGAAGTTGTAATTTTAATTTTTAGCTTGATACGTTTCTTTTAAATGACTTATATCGTGCATTCCGTCTGGATGCGTTCGCTTCGTCCCATCCCATTACAGTTGATGTTGAAAATCCAGCTGATATTGCAACTATATTTGATGGGATAACTTACTCCAAGGCAAGTAATATTATAATATAGAAATAATTGTGTAGGAGAAGTAATTGTGTAATCATTCAGTACTGGACTCGAGGGCGGAACTGATAGTCTGGCTATAAAGACATGTTTTTAAAACGTACGGAGGCTGGGGATCTTAAGTAATTGGCATTGCAATAATCATGTTTTCCCATACTATCACGATGTTTCTTTATCTGTACTGATTATGGCGACATGCACCAGTCTCCAAGCTCCCAATGACTCGAGGGCCTTTGTTCATGTCCTAATTATCCCTATCTATATAAGTGCTTTCGGATATTTTGCTTACAGGGTGCTTCCATTATCCGAATGTTGTCTGGCTTCTTAGGAGAATCGGTGTTTCAGAAGGGTATAAAGGTGCGCACCAAATATTAATGATTAAATAATAATTTTACTTGAAAGAAATGATGTTAAATCATGTTAAAGACCAGGGGCCATTTATTTATATAAAACAATGTATCGTAATTTTTGTAGTACTACCTTGAGAAACACAAATTCGGCAATGCTGAAGCAAAGGATTTGTGGAATGCGCTCAGTGAGGTTAGACCGTCAGTTTTTTCTTATCATATGGTTCCGCATCTGGTACAAATACGCTTGATATCAAGAACACTTATAATTAAAATAACTATAATATTTATGGAGAAATGAAGAAATGTACAGGGCACTATCTGTGATACAAAAAACAACAACTCGTATACAGCAATTTAAAGCACGCCAAAGTAATGATGCTACTCCATTATATAGGTCTCAGGCATAGACATCGAAACTATAATGGATTCTTGGACCAATCAAATGGGTTTTCCTGTCGTCTACATCTCCAGGGAGTCGTCGGGTAAAGGAAAAGCGACCCAAAAACATTTTCTTCTTAACTCGAATTCCCAAAATTCGAAAGAGTCTGACCAAGGGTGAGTACAAAATTATTATACAGACTTTCCTTACTCGATTTTCTTCGCAACGAATATAGTATTTCTTGGTATCTCTGCATTCTGCTGCTAATTGTCGACTGAATTTCCGTCTTCCATAATGACAACAGTTTGTGTTTTGGCATTTGTAGAAATATGCATCAGTCATTTTGCATATCTTCCACCAGTTTTTCGAATAAATTAATAACAACAATGATTGCATGATTCCACTCTATTTCACTATAAATTATATCGATTTCATTTAACTGAAATCAAACGATGTACGTCTTACTGACAACAATCGCAATGCCTCAATTTAACTGGTATATATTAAGATGGTTTACGTTTTGATGCAGATATTCTTGGTATGTCCCGTTTGATTACATTCTGGAGGGCAATACTCACAGAAAGATATCTTTGTGGATGAACAGAACCTCAGGTTGGAAGAATATAGGAATCAAATCAAATCAAACGTTTAGCATTGTGGCTTAATTCTGTTTTAAATTCCATTTGTTTTGAGAATGCTATATCGCTGCTTTATATAGCTATATTATTTGTTTGATATCTCGTGATCTTTCCTAAATACGAGCCGTAAAACAACTTTATGACAGAATCCCATATACTAACAAGAAGAGGAAGATATAAGCTGTGCTGCAATTCCTAGATCAGAAAACATCGTACAAAATTATCCTCTTTCTATTATCTTATCAGTTTCACCGTAAAATTTTTAGTTATCTTATATGTTTTTGCCAACAGACAATTCTGTCGCCTTACGAAGCTCTCGGTCAATCATTATTGATAAAAAGTAACCGGCACTTCGTAAATATACTACTAAATATACAGGGTCTACTCTATATCGTCAAGTAATACTTATATTAGCAGTATACTAACAATAATTCCATCACTCCCTTTCAGCTTCCTTTGATTGGCCTAGTAAAAAATGGTTGAAGGCAAACGTAGGGCAGCGTGGATATTATATCGTAAATTACGACAAGGAAAATTGGGTGAAGTTGTCATATGTTTTGATGAAGAATCACAAGGTAGTGAAACAAAATATAACTTCTGTTTAAAATTTAAACAGATTAAGTTATTTACAGTTATGGCTTAGTGTATATAGGTCAAAAAAGGTTCATTACTCTCTTTTTATAAATTTTAGATCCTCGATTCAACGGACAGAACTAGTCTGATTAACGATGCATTCACCTTAGCCAGGTTGAGTTGTCGAATAGACTCAAATCTATTCAGATCATCTAATTCATATGTGTTTGAGCACAAAATGCCCAAAAAAGAAAATGTTAAATAGCGCATATATATAAACTTAGCGCTAGCATCCAAAGAATTTTGGTAATCACCCCAAAACAGTACACGTGCATCATCAAACCCAGCATCAGCAAATCTCTAAACTTTATTATCGAATAAGTGGAAAAGTGATTCCACCCATTTAGTGATTTCAATTGATATAAACTAAAACTTTGCATGTACGATTGTGATGATATCAACTTCTGCATGGTCGTTATATATAGGGCAGGGAACATTGATTATGGTATAGCCTTCAATTTGGTAAAATATATGAAGAAAGAGACAAGATATGTACCCTGGCAAACTTTATTGGACAATATTGAATATTTGGATAAGATGTTGAGAAAGGAAGATATTTATCATAAGTTTAAGGTAATCATGTACCATATATATGTATATACAGCTCACATTGGGTTATTATATTGCATGTGAGTGCACTTCTGCTTACATCTACCTCTCTTTTTCTTAGCAATTGATTTTAGATATTTTGGATAGCAAAATCGATGTAATCAGAGGGGGCAGAAAATTAGATTCCAAAGATAACCCTTCAAATATGTAAGTGCATTTCCATCTCCGAAGATGATACTTTACCAAAAGCAATATCTTCAATATGTCTTTCAAACACGTTGTGCTAGTGGTGATCCCTTATCACGTAAACACAGGTTTATAACATTCTCTTGATATTTTGTATAGTAAAATGCGCAGATTGATTTTGAATGCCGCTTGCTCCTTTGGTCATCAAAAAACGATAGAAAACGTAAAAGTTTTATTTAAACGATATCTGGAAAGGTAAAGATGAATTAATATTTAAAAGCCGAACTTTGAAAAATACGGGCAAATGGAAGATTAGATGAAATTATAGAATCGTGGTTCAAAAAAACGGCCAGTCAACAGGCAACGATTCAGGGGCGTAACAAGAACGATAATTAGCCATTTCCCAAACGAGCAGAGTACTGGGTCTAGTGGCGAACCGCAAAGCATCTATGGATTGTTTGGAGGGACAGGAAATATAAGTATGAAATCATTTGTCTTTCCAAATAGTCCATAAGAGGCTTTGCGGTTCGCGACTAGACCCAGTTCCCTGCTCGATTGGGAAATGCCTAATTGGTGGAGGAGGGGGGGCGGGGGTCGTGTGAATATTCATACATTCGGTTCTGCCCGATGGATTTGTATTGTACTTACAAAATTTTCAAAGATTTCTATTGTACTTACAAGATATTCCACTTACAAAAAAAATCCGTCGGGCAGAACTGAATATATGAATAAACACCCTCCAGTTATCGCTTGCAATTTTTTAACTTAGCGCCGTCTTATTGACCGGCAACATTTTTTAACAATTCTCTTTGCCGATCTATCAATTTTGTTTTCGTGACTATTATAGTAACCGAACGAAAGCAAATTTTAACAGAATCAAGATGGTTAGCTATATGGATTTATCAAATTCATTTTATATTCTATATATAACCTATGATTGTATCATTTTGAATAGCAAAAGCAAACTTGATGTTGACTTGAAAGGTGCAATATACGCACACGGAATAGCAAATACGGGAAAAAAAGAATGGGAAAAGTTGTTCGTGATATATCGAAGTACTACCATTGCTTCCGAACGATCCCTGTTGATACATGGACTTTCTATGTCACGAAATAAGGCATTATTACAAAAGTTAGTACTTCATGAATATTTGTATATATGCGCTAATAATGCTAATAGATAATTTGTATATATGCGCTAATAAATAACTGAAGTGGGAAAAATTTTGACATAGAATTTTGAAATAACTTTACGTGACTTTCCGTGACTTTCAATATTTTCCACAATCTTGAAACCAGAGCCCGCGATCCATCGGGGCTGATCGATCTCTGGTTTCGAGATTAGGTTTCGAGGCCAGAAAAACTGAAATTTTATGACAGATTTCCTGTTACCTATATACGAACCCCTTTATTAATTCAAAATGCTCACGCAGAAAATATAGAAATATGCCACACTTTGGTATACCGATAGAAATGAGAAAGCGGATTGAGAAAACGCTCCTTATATTAATAAATAAAAGCAATGCCCATGATTATAAATTCACTGTAATTACATACTTTATATATAGTAAGTATATACTATAATGTGTTATACACCACATGCAGTATCACACACACCGATTTTTTTTTATTAGATTTCTGAAATATTCTATTGATGGAAGCAAGGACACAGTTACAATTATAAATAATGTTGCCAACAATCCATTTGGACGAAATCTCGCGTGGAGGTTCCTCAAACAAAACTGGAATATATTCTACGAAAGGTATACTTTTCCGGTCGTGCGCCGTGCTAGGGTACTATAAATCCGCCCGCAGGTACTATTTCATGCCTATACAGAGGGAAAATGAGTTATTTGTTTACTACAGTATTATGACTTTTTTTGTACCGTGGTAAAATATGAGCTAAAACTCATTGATATCAGTTCACAATATAAACCTTTAGGTCTATAGCTAGGCTAGCTAGTTTAGAAAATAACATGGTTTCTTTGAAAAGGAAAGGGGAATCTGCAGGAATGTTTTTTAAAGTTTAATTTAAAAAATGAAAAATGACATATATGAGAGAGAAATCTTTTGTAGCGATCTTGGTCCAGGATACTAATCTTAAAACCATTCTTCGACTAAAAGGTTATACTATAGTTTGTTGAATACTAATCATCCACTAATAATAGTCCACTAATCATCTGACCTTCATACCTTTTTAATTCTGTAGGTACAGCAAATTAAGTTTTCGATTAGCAAGTGTTATCTCCAGCACGACCTCAATGATGAACGCAAGAGATGAAGAGAAAGAGGTTTGTGAACAAATTATTGACAAAACTTTGAATAAATTATGCAATGAATAAACCACGCCGAGAGCTATAGGGCAGGAGACCATAAAAAAATTGTAATACTAAAAATTTGTAATTGTATTTGTAAACCTCGGATTCTGTTAACAATTTCAGCTCTACCTACCGCATATAGCATGCGTCATCCATGCTCTTTTATAGTTATCCGAATTAAACCTTAGCTTTACTTACCATAGTACAAAATTCACATTAGCTGATCTAGCGTGGCAATGATACATGAATTGGAAAGGGCGACCGGTTGCGCACTGTTGCACTTCGCGTTTTGAGCACGACAGTCCTAAAGGCTAAAAGCTGTACGAAATACATATATATATATATATATATATATATATATATATATATATATAATATATATATAATATATATATATATATATAATATATATATATATATATATATATATATATATATATATATATATATATATATATATATATATATATGTTATTAACCAGATTGGATGTCCGTCGAGGGAAATATTTCCCTATACGGACCGACTAAACTTTCTTGCGGTCCGAATTCATATTTAAGCGTTGGCTCTGTGCTTTAAATCTCGCGCGGTCCGTACGGCCTCATAGGGACCGCTCGCGTAACCAATCAGATTGCAGGAAACGCTAAAATATGAATTCAGACCGCGAGAAAAAAAATATATCCAAGATTCTTATGGTTGTCGATTTAGGTTACAGACTTTTTCAAAGGCTTGGAAAAAGGATCAGGTGCAAGAGCAGTCGAATTATCAATTGAGAGCATAAATGCAAATATTAAATGGGTGGAAAGAAGTGCGCCACAAATAAGACGTTACTTAGACAGTGTAAAAAAATAAAAATTACTTTATATCCATGTAATACATTATATAACCTCGTTGCATGCATGGACTTGACTAGGCTACTGTACGAGGTAAAATGCATGGGCCCCATTTACACGACATGAATTTTTGGCACAGGCCACTTAAAATCGCCCATATAATAGTCGTGTAAATGGGGCTATATGGTCTACAATAATGGAAATTATAGATATGTTTTTTTTTCGGCCAAGTGTGAATATTGCTAGGTGTAAAATTAGTATACATGCAGTATAGGTGTAAATTGTAAGCCAAAATATAGTTAATTATAAGATTAATAATAATAAAAACATAATATAATAGCTCAAAAAAACTTTTCACAGACGAATCACAACACTGAAAGGCTGGATTTCAGACATCGCTTGGCGCGCCGCACGAATAAATTCGCCAAGTGGAAAATGACCGTGTTTCCGTGGGAAAACGCAATTTTAATTTTGATAAGCGCATGCATGCATCGTGTGAGGTATGCGCAGGTGGCATCCGGAGAGCAACGGAGCTAGGCCCTGGGGACGAGGATGGCTCAGGTGGGGTAAATATTTTTTGAACAAAGCCTAACAGCTGTACTTACTATTAGCTAAATTAGTTTTGTTATACAAACTATTAATTGAACCAAATTTTGAAATTATTTCATTTAACAAAACGGATCATTCCATAGAACAAGAAAGAATTAATTCTTATCTCCTTTTTACTTTCAATATGAAAACTATATTTGAGAGTAGAACTGATAAGTGTATTTGTATTTATTCACTTGCAACAATTATAAGCATTATTCTTTCATACTGAAGTGGCCTAGTATTGTAATAAATGCGAATAGCTATACATGCATGTACAATACTTGTCCAATTTTGAAAATGGTCCATGCAAGTCATACGATTCGGAATAATTTTCCTTTTCTTGGGTACGAATAATGGATATGTACACGTATGAAAAAAATTCTACACGAAGTGACATATAGCGCACAAACAGCGTTCACGACAAAAGATCCAAATAAAACTTGTATATATTTTTTTCTACATCCAACAGTTTTACTCCTAAAAAGAGTTAAGAACGATAGCACAAACTTTGTTTAATGTTCTACGAGAAGAACAGAACGTTAAGTGTTAACAGTAACAGTTCTAGCAACCGCTGGAAATACGCCCATGAGGTTCATATATGTCGAATTTGTAAATCCTTTTATTAAATGCTATCAATATTTTCTCCTTTGAAATAAAAAAGACAATCTCCAGTCATATTTGTTCTTAACCGCAATATTAGTAAAACTTTATTTTCGATTCCTGACAATGGACACGACCAGGTTGTGTTATAGAAGTGGTCGATCTTACAATTAATCGTACGTATATTTTTCGATCGATTATTATACCTTTTCCAACTCTCTAAGACAATGTTCCAAGTAGTGGGTTGATTGATTGGTCAGTTTATTTGGTATTTCCGATAGATTTTGAAATTTTACTAATTACTGTACATGAGTTGAGTAAAAAAAACAATTACCGGCAACTTGGCGTATTCAATAGAAATATTGTAGCGTTTACCCACACATATGATTGAAGATAATCTCTTTCCGAATCAACGAGCAATTACACCTACGTTTTGTAAGAAAGGGACGTATATACTGTACATCTCTACTGAACGAACAAACTTTACTGTTATAGATCTTTAAAAATTTACCCTTAACGGGCTAGACAGTTCATGTTACAAATATTGAATCAGAAAATGTTTGTGGGAGTTTATGGAGCCACATAAGGAGGAGGCAAACGGTAACTAGCTACCGATGGGCGAGAATTTCCTGCAGGTTCGTGTCCACTGTCGAATGGCGGTTGATATGACGGCGAACTGTCACTTAACAGACGTTCACTTGGATCTTCAGTTGGGGTTGAACTCCGAGGGTAGGCAGGAGGGGGAAGAGGCGCTTTCTCGTTAGGTGTGATAAGGGGTTGATTACCATACACTTCCCTCATCGGATATTCCTCTCTAAACACAGCAGGTTTCTTCCTCTGAACGAATACAACATTTTCGTTCTTCTCGAGCCTGTTCTTACGCCGACAACGTATACAAATGATAATTATCAACCCGATGATGAGGATCAAACCGGCAACAACAAATGCTGGAATGATCGTGTATTCCCACCACGTTCCATCGTCATCATCGTCAGTTCTGCCCACGACATTCGGATCGACGGTTGTAGGTTCCGGCGATGATACTTTCACCCAAACTTTCGTAACGGAACATCCTGTGGACATCGGGCACGATGATTCTATACGGTTTTTGAACTCGTTAACTGGCTTTTCTCCACCAAGAATGTATCTACTTTTGTAATCAAACACACCCGTAATGTTAGTGGCAATATTTGCAAAATTCCACATGAGTTCAATGCTACCTTTCTCATATTTCTCTACACGAATGTCACGATAAGAGGTGTTGAAATGGTCCCCGAAATAGTTACCAATCTGCAAGAACAGCTTAACCCTAGTTGCAGCACTTTTATTGAACTTCTTAAAATCGGCGTCTAGAACGAGACCAAATTGGTGGTTGGGCGCGACGGGTGTTGGGTTGATATGAAACTCGAAAGCATCTACCGTTTTCAACCCTTCGCTGTCAAACGCAAACATCAAAAATTCATATTTGCCAATCGCAACATTAACTGGAAGAGCATAAATAGTATGAGTTTTGGCGTCGAACTCGATCCATGGAAAGTCATCCAATGATTGGTCGTCCGCAGTTTTCATTTCAAGTGTAAGATTTTCAGTTGAGCCATCTTCCGCATCGTGAAATGTATCGTGAGGCACTTTAAAAGCGATCGGTTCACCAACGTAGAGCGAGATCAGGTCAATATGGTTATAAAGATAAGGCGGTTTATTGGGAGTCATTACTCTTATAGTGACCACGAGTAGCTTAGATTTTAAGTTTCCGCTGTCACTGACAATTAAAGCAATTCTTGTGTCACCAAGACTTTTCGGAATGCCATGAAGTCTTTGAAGCGTCGTGTCAAGCGTTACCCAGGTATTTATTGGATCCCCACGCGGGTCATACATTTCCAGTTGAAGATCAGGCGTTTCACCGTCCTCTCTATCGAGAAAAGTTTTGGGAGGAATATAAAAGGAGAAAGGCTCGTCTATCCGCGCGATCAAAGGATTTATAGGATTGTTTATATAAGGTGGGGTGTTTGTAGGTGGTGTAGTAGAAACAGGGGCAACATTCACTTTTATAGTGACCACGTGTAATTGAGATTTCAAGAATCCACGGTCAGTCACAACTAAAGAAATTTGTGTGTCACCAATATCTTTCGGGATGCCATTAAGTTTTTGACGTTGTGGGTCAAGCGTTACCCAGCTGTCGGTGGGCAGAGGATTTCCAAGAGGGTCGAATATATCCAGTTGAAGATTAGGCGTAGGGCCGTCCTCCTTATCGTAAAAAGTGTTGGGAGGAATATTGAAGGAGAAAGGCTCGTTTACCTGCGCGGTTAAATCATTTATAGGTTTATTTAGATAAGGTGGGGTGTTTGTAGGTGGTGCGGTCGGAGCAACAGTCGTGGTTGGTGGGCCCGATATTTGGGTCGTAGAGGGAACAATTCTTATGGCAGTAGGAGTAATGCTAAGGAGACTGGGCGATCTTGTCATGGACGGAGTACCAATGACACGAGTGGAAATAGCTGCCGTTGGCGTTACGAAAGCAGATGTTGGCACTGGCGTTTGTGCCAGTGCTTGACGACGAACTCGAACCACTCGGCGACGCTTCACTCGACCATACGTCACATGCCATCCAATTACAGGTGAGTTCAGTTCTTTCTCGAATGCTCCAGTTTGAGATGCAGACTTGAGGTGGCTAACAGAACCGTAACTTTTTTCACTTTCTATAATAGAACGAAAACGAGAGTCACTTTTGAAAATAGAGATATGCAAAACATCATGGTCAGCCCGAAAAAGGATGATTTAGTAAATGGAAAAAGGAGAACAAGGGAACATAAGTGATTTACCGATTTAAAATATCTTTCACTATAAAATGTATAGCAGGAACGTAAACCGTATTGTTGTGTTTTTTGTTGGAGTGTTAACCATTAACATGCTGAATTTCATGCAGATGTAGATCGAACACTAAACAGTTCCGTAAATACATGGAGGAATGTTCTCACTTGTGCTCACTCGTGACACTTTTGCCACTTGAACATGAAAATCCATCGCTGTTATTTAACCATATATACACACAAACCTGTAATACTATCGCCACATCCAATCTTCCATGACACAGCAACCCCTCTTTCCTGAGGATCTCTTACTCCGCCTGGTCCCGCAGTCAATACAATGACTTCTTCCAAGTTGAATGCAGTCTTCTCCCCCTTGCCCGGCATCCAACGCGGTTCGTTTACATCAACATCGGTCCATTTGGAAACACTATTCAACAACTCAACTCGCTTTGCACCAGATAATTTTCTTGCGGTTAAATCAAATACAAGAGTGGCTACAATAACAGGTGCGTGATTGGGGCAACTCAAAGACGATCGTGATGTATTCTTATTAGGATCTGTCAAAGTGTTTGTGCGTAATACCCTGAAGTGGTTTAAATCCTCTTCATATTCAACGACTTCTATGGTGAGAAAATTGATTGTGTCGATTGTTTTGTTTGTTTCGTCGTTAATGACATCAAGTCGGATAGTGTGTGAACCCTTGTCGTGATGCGACGATGGAACTCCAACAAAGAGATTTCTTGCGGCCACGAATTCCAGCCAGGAGGGAAGTTCTGAGCTATCGAGCGCATGGAACTAAATAACATATAGTAAGTTAAGTTAATAGACCTTCATAATTTTCCGGCAAGGAATATAAGTTTTCTTTAAGGAACATTGATGTAACGTGTTGGGGCGATTGAAGGCACCTTGGGGCGATAGAGTGGAACGCGAACAAAAGCAAAATAGAACATTTTATATTAAGAAGATAACGACGACTCATCAAAGAAAACATACTTCTATACTCCCAGCTTGCATGCATGTCGAGTGTTTCTCACACAATTCTCATGTAATTTTTTTACCTTAAATGTATAACCAGGATGCGTGGACATCTCAGCAGGCAGTTTGTAAGTAAACGCCTTCCCAAAAACAGTCGCTATTTCATCTGGTTTGACCGTAAACGGCAGTGCACTAATGCAACAGGAAAACAACACAAAGAGTGTTGATGCCAGGAAAACAGTTTCTACCGCATGTCTATCTTTATTAAAAATCATTTTTCAATTGAATTATTTTAAAAGTCTTCACTAATTTCACAAAAATCCACGCACCGAACGATAAACCTAAAAGAAAAAAAGAAAAAACTTTAAAAAGGTATTAAAGTTGAACTACATGCAGAAATACTATTTTTAGCCTATATATCTTCTGAATTGAATATATACACGCCAAGAATAACTTGCGATGGACGCAATTTATCTTTTTAATTTCTGCGAACTATATATAGGTATTTCGAGAAATTAAGGCATATAAAAGAGCTTTCATTTTAACTAGATATAAAAGACCACCAATAATTGTTCACGTAAGATCAAATTTGCATTTTTTCTAGACCGTGTTGCGAATTTCACACTACACTGCAGTAGCATGCATACTTAAACTAACATTTGTGAAAACCATAAACTTTAAGCATGCATGTAAAATATATATATTATATAATATAATAAATATAATATATATAATATATAATATATAATAAATATATTTATATTAACACATATTTTGGATCACGGTATTACTTAAATTATCAAAAACAGAATATTTCAGAATGTTAAGAATATTTAACACTATTTCGGTTCGCTATTGAGAGTTTTACATGAATATATAAGCTGCTTTATGTTCAGAAAAACGTCATGCAAAATTTCAGCAATTGTGGCCTACACACATGCATGCATGAGCAGAAGCCACTGTAACACCGCTTTAAGCTTACGTTAAAATGAATACATAAATAGCAATATATTTTTAGTTATAGCAAGATATTCTTCGTTCAGAGAAAGAACATGTTACTTCAATGCTTATTTTGTTACAAACGTGACCTTGAATAATAATACTAAATAACGAATACAACTATATTAATATGTAACATCTATCTTACTGAAAATGAGTTAGGGCAAAGTTTAATTTCCTCTGGGGAAAAGAGGGCGGAAAAGGTGTAGGAAGAACACGGAAAAGATTTGGAGAACAATGCCTATTATATAAGTAATTCAATCTAGCTAGAACATAGAACGTGACAATCATGAGATTATATTTAGATCTTTAACACAATATTACGCCCATAATAGGAAATTTGCATTAGCTATAATGAAAACAGAATATCTTTAATTAAGTTTGCATATATTATGTCGAATACAATAAGAATTTCTAAGCCGAGGTAAATACAAAAAAGCATACAAACTTCGATGGCAAAAATTTTCATGATTTCACAACAATTTGCAAAGATTCTTCACAATATGTACTATTTTTACTCTTTCCAATCGTTGCCAATTCAGCAACAAAACTAAACATAAACATGCACCGTCACTGTTATTTTTACTTATGCAATTATCTGACACATTAGCTCTTTTTTTTAAATGAACTCCTTTAGTATTCTGGAAACTCTTTTTAGTAAGTGCATACTTCGTGCATGATTAACTATCTATTTCTATTCAGTCATCGTGGCGCTGATAGAGAGGAGTACCATGGATGGCCGTTATTCCTTAGAAAAGATTCGTTATATGGAATTGCAGGTCGTTATGGCATATTAAGTTATAAACCAACCATATTTAACTTTCTGCAACAGAAGAGGCATTTATTTTTTACTATAAAGCTATTCTAATCACTATATAATGACTGCATGTTAGAAAGGGCACTTGATTTTAGCTATATTCAATTCGTATTTAGTATTCGATACACAAACACCTGCTTGAAGATTCAACTGAAGATGCATGATCACGCGCAATACAGTTGATAATATCGTGATGATAAAACCACTTGTAAACAGGTACTGATATCGATATATGACCACGTTATTTTTTTAATTCTTTGTTGCTATATATTGGCTAGTGCTGAACTTGCAAAATGTCTCGCAATATGCATACAATCCGATCGAGAAGAAATTATACTTACTTACACACAGGCATGCACACTCGCCTCTACATGCATGCGGTGATATTTAAAAGCGACTATATAGCTACAGCTTACTTATATAGCTCGGGCGTAAGTCTCGGCTGGACATATTAACTATTCATTAGTTAATGGTGCTGGGAAAAATATGGAAGTAATTATGACGACTAAAACAACAGCGCGCATGATACGATTCAAAACACGATTACTAACAACATTTCACGTTTTGTCTGCACAGCGCGTCAACAATTCTTTAAAAGCACCAAATTTAGCAACAATTATTACTGTACGCAAATAAAAACAGAACATTTGGTCACGCACTTAAACGAAAGGCATAAGGCATAAACAAATTGCACACTGGACTGTGTTATAACCAGCTGATGTTTTTGCATCCAGCTTGTTGATAGCAGGCCGAATTCATGCTGTGAATATATACTTTTAAAGGTTTTCAAAAAATAATCTAATCTGGTTATTCAACAATCTATACTAAGAATATGAAAGATCAGATGTTAAATGTATACTTGCTTGACTATTTCACCAGAATGTCATCTGTCCGACCGAAAATGTGCTTATAACAGGAGCCCAAACACGCGGAGAAAGGTTGGAGCAACAAATTCTCATTTCGTTCAGACATCCGATATGTATGTATAACAAAGGCTTCCTGACTGATCAAGAGGTCGGTAAACATCAGACATATAATTTTTGGCTGAGTACTATTTCCGCCTTAAAGGCGTGTGGTCACACCATGAATTAAAACTTCTAATCAAATTTTAAAGCTTGCTGCATTGAACGCCAAAAATGTCTGGCATGATTAGTACGCGTTCCATGCAAGTTGACGGGTGAAGGTTAAAATTCAATATTGAGTTGGAGCAATTAATCAAGTTTTTCAGGAAAAAAACGAACTTCGTCGACTGTACATGCGCTATATTCAAAAAGCAGTAGAATAATATTAAACTATAGCACTAATTTAAAAATTGGTTGCCTCATTCATTTATTGGTTAAAACGCAGTTATTTTTACCCAATAGAATTGATGAAAAAGAGGTGAATATGGGAAAACCGGCTTTAACCACGTGACCACATATTTCCTTATTTTTTATTTAGGCTCGTTTGGCCAAATTCTAGGCGTCTTATCAATTGTTAATAGCTGAGAATGTTTGACTGCAAGTCCTAATAACTTCCTGATTGGACAAGAATATAACAAAAAGTGAACGTAAAACACTGAAACATGTTTTAAAAATGACTTAGATCCGTTCCAATGCGTACGAATGTTAAAGAATAGATGGAATTTTGAAAATACAAGCTAGCCTACTGATATAGATGCGAAGTTTGTCTAATATGACGCACGAAAGCGGACAAAAATACTTTTCTCAAATATATACATGACTCGATATTAAATATAAAGCAACAATACAAATACAGTACGAATTGCCTGGTATATAAAACCATTTTGAAACATAAAACAAAATATTCATTTAGATACAAAATATGTTACCAAATACGTGCCCTCCCTCAATTCCTTTGGGGACAAACGGTGCCCTTTTTGCGATGAAAAATGCGTTTTGGGAGAAGCTAATGTAGCTAGAAATACTATTTTGTAAAACCGAATCGTACCCCTCTCCGCGAAGTTTTTAAGGGACAAAAGGTGCCCTTTTTGGTTTCTGCGTATGCCCACTTACACGCGCCCAAATCATTTTGTTGAGCATAAATATAAAACACACTAATGGTGTCCTTGCAGCTTTCGCAATCAAACCGTCCTTATACATTACATATTTTCAGTTGCACTTTTTATAAACCAAAAGTGCCCCTTGAAGCTAGTGCCCCCCAAACTCTGAAAACGACAATCAAGATCACAAATTTCCTACCACGAATGGCGCATGAACACAACGATCAGGGATGGGATCGTTTTCAAATTTAGAAGTATAACCATGCCTCTATTTCATCTTAGTGAAATTAAAGACCTTTGGCCTCAGACAGAAGTATTTTCCGTTAACGAAAGGTGGCATTTAAGTACAGGATGCGTCATATCTAACAATAGAACGCACGAACAAGAATGATTTGAGACAGGCTCCAGCTTCATCTCTTACTATGATAATCTCAGTATTCCTTACAGATTGTAGCTAGTAAATATTCGATAAAAGCATATAAGGCATTTTGCGTTTTTATCAGATTGTACTGTGCATTTTTTAACATATTAATCTTATGGTACCATGAGTGTCTTGCATATATAATGCAGGTATGATCGACTTGATCATGAATAAATATAGGAGCCAATATATAGGAGCCTCAATTATACCATATATTTGCAACTGTTCTAATGCTTTATATCAACTTTAAAATTAATTTTATAAACGCACTCTAAAAAGTCTAAATCTCCAAGTATTGTACAAACACCAAAAAAGATGAAAATCCAAAAAGCATAAAGAAAAGCGACATATATACTGCCATCTTGCGGCACATCAAAACTACAATCGACATGCATCTTTTATAAGATAAATAAGCATTAAAATCTTTACGTTTGCATATATGTATTGATTTAAAATTACAACATGACGTATACATACACCTGGTAAGCAGGTTTATTGGAGTAATGACGCATTGACATCAAACACCCAAAATGCCAAATAATGTTAGGAATTCAAAATATTCATGAGTGTTTGTATATAAACACTCCTCATTTACTGATTTAGTACCAAACAATACTTAGAATAGAAAAGACCACCCGGATTTTGCAATATGGCCAACGTTCTTCCCTTGGGTTTGGAAGAAAAATCTAAAGGTGGCTAAATAGATAACATAACACTATAAAAGAAGGATATTCCTAATTGAAGGATTAGGTCATTAGGACACTAGCTCAGTACTCATGATGCTTTAGATTATCAATACGTTTGTGGATTTATTGCATTTTGGTATTTCCTACACGTATTCTCTCTAAACACCCACTATAGGCACTAATCTACGACTATGTAAGTGCACACTATGTAATCTATCTATCAGTATGACTATATGCAAAGACATAAATCTTGCGCCATGGCAAGCATATTTTTATCGAAAGTGTTCGACAGTTCACAATCAGTAATCAGTATACACATATCTGTAGGGAGACATATAGCCCTAGTTCACCGGCAGTGAACTATTTCTCTACCACAATTTGAGGAAGTTATCTACTTGATTTGAGGTTATCATATGTTTGGAATTTCCTTAATTCGTTTGAACCTAATATTTTCTACCCCACAGTCACTTATTCACACATAAAAATTTTCTTCAAACCTTTTCTTCGCTTTAGCTGTGAAACGGCAACACGATGGAATGGAACGCAATGGATAAAAATGAACCTTGTTTTAAATTCAGATCATAATCCTACCTTGGCCTTTGATTTTATTTCTAAAGTGTGCATGACTGGGTGTTTTCAAAAATTTGAAAAGTGAAATAAATCCGAATGCCGAAATGGGAATGATTTCAGTTGGAAGACAATATTAAGAGTGAGTTGTACTCAATTGCCAGCGGTGGAAAGATCGATTTCAAGAAGCAATTTGAAGCTATATCGTATTTGGTCTTTTTGTCCCAACGATACAAAAAGGAGTCGTCACAAACGTGTCAGACTGAACTTTAATATTGGCATAAATGTAGGACCATATGGCATATACAGTATTAAAGACTTATTTTCGGCACAATGACGCATATGCTCTATTGCAAAAAAAATAAGTAGAACGTAATTAAAAGTGGTGTGTCCAACACTACAGATCATACAAGTTGTACAGTACCTATAGCTTTAGACCTTTGGTCAGTCAGTTTTTATAACAAAGCTATAATTCAAAATTCTAAAGTCAAGATTTTGCAATTCTTGCTGATGTTTGCATTTGTTAATTTGCCCTATTTAAACAAAACCACCAATTATTTGACACACCTAGAATCTCGAGTGCAACAAGAAATTTTAGGCCAACATATCTAGTAAGGATATAAGAAATGCAGGGATACCAGGGATACCATTCTTGGAGTTCCTGGTACTCAAAATGTAATCACACAGCCAATAATAAAATATATAGTTTCTTTTGTTTCAAAATTATTCTGACAATAAAGTTGCTTGGCACTTTGAATGTTCTTTGCCAACTTGGTAACTTCAAAATATTAATTGTGGTTGGGCTAAAAACATGAGACCTTCGCATTCTGTAGCTTTAGTGTATTCTATGGTTAATTAAGCAGTGAATTTCATATGCCATGATATGGTGCATTTGTAAACCAAATTACTCAGAATAAAACCTATTCTTGCCTATTGATTAGCCAATTGGCATTCTTAATTGAAAATCCTTTCTCTCATAAATGATTGTGATGTTATGAATAGGTAGTCTGACAAATGTTGAGACCAATGATTATGTTTCACTTTTCACCACAGCAAAACAATTTATAGAACTGCAAAACATTACATGCTCAACTTAAAGGTTACTTGTTTACTATTTTGTAATTTCTGTTCATGTAAAGATATTTCATACATTAATAGCTGACCAATTGCCAGAAGATTACTGTGTATTGTCAGTGGGAGTAGGAAACAGCTAGTTAATGGGTTAACAATGGCCTAAAAAATTAATAAGTCAGCTAATATGTCAACAGGCTGCAGTCAGGCAATCTTAATGATTGCTTTTGACAGCATAATATTGCTACCTGTGTAAGCAATGCCTAGGTGAAGTATGTTTTGGTGTGATAAACCATATGTAAGGTTGATTACACAATTGAATAACACACCAAAAATAATATTATTACTGGCAATAGGGTACAAATATTAATATTCAATGTTAGAAAAAAAATGAAACCAGTAGATACTACCAGTTTCAAGTTATCACATATCGAAAGTATATATTATATGGCTTGACTAGTCCCTCTTGAAACTTTAAAATCAGAGTGACAATTGGTTTTATTATCCATGTATGTCCAATTAAAAATTAAAACACCAAAGTCAGTATTTAAAGAATCAAAAAATGGCTTTAAATAATTAATTGGCAAATTGTAGAAAACCTGTACTTTGATTTTACGATGAATTATATTATATAAATAAAGAATGATGGACAGCAGCATGCCAATTTGCCACTGTATCTGTAATAAGGGACAAACATAGCTTTAATAGCCAAAGAAATGAATGCATGAATGAATAGCTTGGCATATACTGTTAAATTTGAATTAACAAACTTACAGGAATTGAACTACAAAACTTTTATCCTTCTGTTTCGCAGGGATAAACGACGTTAAAGCAGCATGAAGTAATTTGCGAAAATTCTTTTTCTAATGTACTAGCCAACCAAGGAAACCAAGGAATGAAACTGAATGCCAGATGGCGAATAAATCGGCTGGGCAAATATAGCAGTATATGGCAAAACAACGAAGTTTACGATGTGTATTGTCTTTTCAGTATTGCTCGTGTGGAATATTCAATGGTGTACATGAAATCGGAATCAAATGCGAAATCGCTCTTCCTTGTATAACAAAGGCAACACTGGTTATCCCAAAAGCTGCTTTAAACAAGATAAAGTCACGCATTTACTTCCAGCCTTGTTTACACTCAGACTTGCTACTTTTATGGGTGACCAATTAGAATTAAAGAAGAGCAAAGTTTTCATAAATTTAAAATATTGGCTTTTGGTTAATTCTTATTCTTAAATCGTGTTGTTTAAGATCGCCTTTTCCTGCAAAATTGAATAGAAGTGGAGCGAGAATACTGCATACGATATTGGTCGTTTACCAACACATGTATATCCTGTTCACAGCATTGTACATGTCAAAGCAATACATGCCTTGTCGGCATCAGCCTTCTTGAAATACTCTAGACTCTAGAGTTATTTTCATATCAACAATGCTAAAATACACATCGGATTTTCGGTCAATGACTGGTCACAACACAAAATCTATGTCGCAAATATTCAATAGCTGTTGAATGAAGAGCATATATACAAAGATAACAATAAGAATCGTTGACTAATAGGAATGCCCAAGCAAAGTCCTCAACGACAATGTAAATGATATTGCTCATTTCGGAAATAGAGGAATTAACTTACTTCTGCCACATATGTTAAACATTTTCGGCTGAGATTAGGAACCGGCGGAGCATAAATCCCAGCATATTTTTGATGATTGATTTAATAGATCACACCAATGAATATGAGAGATTTAAAAACGGCGAATTTTAACGTCGGAGATTCGGACGAAATTTGAACTGGCAAAAACCACGTTGCCTAATGGTGGGTTTCAATCGCTAGAATTTCTCAGGGTATTCGACTGGGATTCGACAAATTAGTCAGATTGTTCGCGACTCTATTTATACATTAGAAATACGATTGTCGCAGCAAATTGCAATCTAACATAATTGACACGCTATACAGAAGAACATTATTCCCTATACGGGCATTACATTCATAATATACTGCTACCAGTACATGCTCAAAAGAATGCTTTGAATTCATTTTTGCTAAGTTCATTGATCCCGTAACAAAACAGACATCATGCAGTACAAACGAGCGATCATCAATTACCAAAGCTTTGCTTTAGGAATCAAACGCGTTCTTTCAATCTAATTCTTAACACAACAAACATGTATGATACCAGTCTACTTACCAGCTCGTAAACCAACGTTTTCGCCTCCGAAATGGCTAATGTTTTCAACAGAAGTACCCAAGCCTAACCGCGATAAAATGTTCTTTTGACTAAGGTTATGTGTTATCAGACATTCTTGAACTGTTTTGGTCGACTAGCCAATCAACGGGCCATAAGAGATTATATCCGGGAATGCAGCCAATCATAGCTGTTCGTGACAATAAGCGCATCTGTGCCGAACGGGCATTAACGCCTATATACAAAAATACAGATAAACCCTTGACAGGGAGCCAAAGAGATACCGTCTTCGGTCTTTCTCAATTTTCGGGTCATAAATCTGCGTTTTTCCGGTAAGATTTCATGGAGTCTCAATAAGTTGTTGTACTGCATAGCCCGAAGCAAGTCTTTATGATTGAATAAATCAATTTCCCATTTTTAAATTGTTTATCTGTGTTCATATCGAGGTTCATGTGCTCACAGGAGAGGTGTTGCGGAACATATATGACACAGTTCAAAAGCTGTCGTGAATAACACAAGACATACACACAGTGTCAGCAATACAAGTTACATGTATATTTTACGTATCATAAATAATATATCTTTACCTTTTGTGAGAGTGCAGTATATTATTGCTTTATGTCATCCGCTCATTAAGTCGTTTTAAAGGAATAATCATATCAAATGTAAATATGATGTATAAATTAATAGTACACCACAACAATGACACCGACGTTTTTGTGGGGCTTATTATTGGAGTATTCACTTCTGTGAAAGCCTGCAGGAGTGCAGCGCGCGGATTACAAAAATATGTCTAAAAAAGCATACGGTAGGCTGAGGGTAAGGGAGAACGAGTAGACAGAAACGTACTATTTAGGCCAAGCTGGACATCAGTAAGAAAAATTCACCATAGGCGCTCCGAAAGGAGTTGACATATAATCATGTGGTGCTTTTCTCACTGACTGTGTCCATTATTTGACACGACGCCTAATCCCAACCCCGGGAGATAACGGGGAACAACTTTTGCTATAACGTTTCGTGCTGACACTGAAAATAAGCTGAGAAAGCCTCTTTCCGTCGACGAAAGTAATCATATAAATCAAATCTGTTTTCATATAATACATCACATTAGGGCTTCGTCAAAAGTGTTTTAAACCATTTGACTGTAGCCAGCGGGTTGAAACTATAAATTAATGGCGCGCCAAATTGGCATTTTGCCGTTTTTAAGTGATCAGCACTTCTCCCTATATAGATATAATCTGAAACTCTTTACGCATGCACATTTGAAGTCTCTCCATCTTAACATAATCATAAAACGAAGTATCCTAATCCATATTTGTCTTTTCGTTTACAAATACTCCCAAATTATTTGGCCGCAAATGCGAAATGAATTTTGCGTCTGACAGTCGCTACGTGATCGCGGTGGGATGGCGCTATTCATGTAAGCATGATGTCGTGCATATCAAATGTTCAAAGACGCGTTTTTTTCGGCCGACACGCCCTTAACCCGGTTCGCTTGAGTCAAACTAAGCCTGTTAACGACTTACGACTAACCTAAGTTAAATTTCATCTGCACTCTAGGATAAACAATGTTTATAGTATCCTCGAACAACCTCAGGTTTGACTGGAATTTCAGTTGTAATCTTACAACTGATCTACACATGCAATATCTGTGCGCACGTGTTTACTGGATTTACTGTCTTTCATGAAAAAACATAATTATGACATGAGTCTTCAGAGGCTTCAGAGGATGAACCACGGTTTAACCTGGAAGACTGGATAAACTTTGAGATTAGCCTGTTGTGTAGTATTATTTTGTACCAATTATCAGCAAATTATCCTAAAATATGATAATCCTTCAATGGAGGCACACCATATGTATTCTTTAAAAATGTGTTCCGTCAAGATGTCTTTAAGTGCGGGAAAACCGGAAAAATAAGAAGTTATTTGGCAACACCTTGTTCAAAATAGCTGTAGCTATGGTTTGGTTGCGACGAATGTTAGAGAAAGTGCGCATTCGGTCAATTTGTCACGTCATATACCGACGGGATCGAGTAGTGCTTTTACTTGGGTCATGCCGCAGTGCTCGGAAGCTTTCGTCCAATTGGATAATGCTTTTCTATGCTTTATAAAGAACGAAGCTATGCTATTGGTTGAAACAGAAATGTATTGTAAAGTTTAGCTAATGCATGAAAATCATTCTTGCGAATAGCTGCGACCCTACCCTTTACTTTTTTCATGCCTGTACCCAACTTATCATGCGCCTGAATTTTTTTGCCTCAGCTCTTCTAACTAATGTCATGAAGGGCGAAAAATTTTAAACCTAATTTCTGTTGGGGTAAAACTAACGTGTTTGCGCATAAAAATAGCTGGATTACTTTAGATTTCCCAGTGCCGAAATCATATGAAATGAGGAAAATGACAATTCACATTTGTCGAGAATTTGGCTTCTGATTGGTTGATTTTTATACTCACATCAGCCTGACGTTTTTTAATTATACTCTTAACGCGATATTATTTTGACAAAAGTGCTCTTTCTTGTGTATAGTTATATTAATTAAGAGGTAATGGCTTTTTAACGAGTACAAAGGTATAGTGTTATACCGGATTTACCTCTTATCAGATATAACAACTGCCTAAATTAGATCAGTAATAAAACTTCTCATCTCTCACTTTGACCTTAAAGACTTTTGTCAGGATATATAAAAGCATGTGTTTCCATAATTACCGCGGTAATTATGTGCATATAGACGTATACGTGTCTAACATGATCACTATATATATATAGCAACTTGGGAAGAATTATTTTATTGCATGCTTATTTTTATCCCTTTCTGGTTGAATCAATTCTTGCAAACTGTTTTCTGAAAAGCTCTATTGAGTTTCTGCAAAACTTTACCATTGAAACTTTGTCTATTGAACTGTATTTGCATAAGTTGTGCGCAGTGATATTCGTAGTGGAACCAGTGTAAAACACTAAAACGTATCGTATCTTACAAGGTGTATGCATAACATGATCTAATGCATGCATGCCTGCCATTTTTACGTAATACAGTTGTCAATCCTAATACCTTTCTCTTGAACATGCGGGACTCCTTTTCATGCATAACGGGAATGAAGGATGAAGCTACTCATTTGTATTTTTGGTTTTAGGCTGCCGATGCTGTTGACCGCCTCACAGCCTTAAAAAGATATGCCAACATTCACTTTAAACAGCCAGGGTTGGAAGAGGTTGCAAAATTCTCATTTTTAACAAAAAATATGTTCCCACACACCTTCATTTCAATGTTGTGTTCCACGTGGCTGGTTACTCTGGTAATCATAAGTTTGTTTGGATTTCGAAATGAACGTTGATTGCTAGGGGGATGTGCATGTGATAATCTGCATATCTAGGCTAAGTATAGTTTGAAGCATGCAGGTGTCCTATCTACTTTTGAAAATGATTGAGGTCTACATACATATGGCAATGAACACAGAGGGATAACAAAGGTTCGGACGTCAGTAGATATACTTCTCAGATAATTTTAATAACGTACGCTTTAAAAGATTGTTTATATTACCTATGTAAATATACATGCGAAATTACGTTATCGGTTAAGTTTAACTGTATGTTTCAGCGCATATTTGCATGACGTTCTTAATAAAAAAAAGATCGGTGTGTTAGTGGGAAAAGGATGATAATGAAATGATGGTATAGGCGTGAATGCCCCAAATAATATAGACCTTAGTGGAAAAATATAGTATGGAAGCAGTAACATGCATTTAAGAAAGATGATGAAATTACTGAATGAAGCCAATTATATCGCCCAGTATCTGTACTGCCTTTACGAGATATACGAAAGAGTAATGAGAGTTATGCCTTGTCTAAGAGTGAATTGTGTGGAACGCCATAGTCGACAAAAATACTTCAAGTTCATTTAAATAAAACTTATTTCGCGCGTATTGTTCGCCATCGTTCTCGTATGACTAAAATGCACGTATCTAAAACATCACACATCGTGTGTAAGTTTATTCCGCCTTATATTAAACGCCATTATGGACAAAATACTTCCAGTTCATTTAAGTAAAACGTCGCGAGTATACTTCGTCAACGACAACGTTCTCGTCCGACTAAAATGCACGCGTTAGAAACATCACACATATTCATGGCACCATGTTCATAAATACGTCGCATATATAAAACTTCTATAAATCCTTACCTATACGACTTCCTGCGCGTAAGACCAAAAAACCGCCAGTTAGACTTTGTAAGACAAAATTTTTGGTCCGTCGGACTTCCTACACGGAAAAGAAAATTTGCTGGTAAATTTTGTAAATTCAGTTATCACCCGCACGACTTCCTGCATGGAATGTCAAAACAGCAGTACTCTAACGACCTGTAAGACACTTGGCCTTAGTGGATTTGGCTAAGAAAAACAATGTGAAGTCAGCACCACATTAAGCATACGATCATAATTAACAGTGTGGCGTGGCTTGCTACGGTGCAATTTCGTTCTAAACAAATTTTTGGCGTCCTAGAAACCCCAAGTGATTTTTTTTGGGAATGAAATAACCACGCGTGAACAAATTTTATTGCCGATAGTAGCAAAACGAGATGCTAGTGATGTATATTGACTACATTTGTATAACACAAAACGTGTAACAATATCGTTTTCCCATAACATATAAGAAATAATACTTATAATAGTACTTTTCAACTTAGAATGAGATGCGAGTATTTAGGTTCTAACTTTTGGATCAGTGGTGCAGTGGGAACGCAGAAGGTGTGTAGCAGACTAAAAAAATTTGAAGTTTAGAGTCCTGCAAGTGCGATTTTGGAGAACTCTACGTTAAGTGCCGAAAAGAAATTATCCATAGACCAATTGCGAAACTTAGTAACCGCGCCTTCGCATAACATGGAAGCGAGGCTTATTATGCAAAAAACAATATTTGTATTTTTTGCCGTACAAAGCTATCCGCCGAGTTATATCCCGGTTTTCGCCTTTGGTTTACATATTTTTCGATACCTTTAAAGCTCGGTTTCATCGTTGTTATCATAGTTTTAAGGTGAGGGAGTTTTGCCTTTCATTTGAGGCGTTTTTGTGATGTTTTCATTAATTTTTTCGGCTGCTTTCGTCGGGGAAATATGGAAAAGACCGACACAA